GAGAAGACAGGTCCAAGAGCAAGCCGAATCGGTAACAGGAAATCACAATAGCAAGGGAACACGGATAAAGGTACTGGGGAGCCAGAGATCAACCAGCAATTTGAGGGAGTGATGGGCCTCCTTATAAAGGCCGTCTGGCGTCAAACTGAACCAATGCGTGCGCAACTATGTGCCAGTGCGCATGCGTGTTCCGGCTCGCGTCTGTGCGTCAATACGCATAGATTTTCGCCAAAGTGCACTTCTGCGGCCATGCAAAGTACTTGCAGCAGTGCCAGCTCTCCTAGTACCTCTGTGTGACGGGAGTGACTTTTGGGGGGGGGGGACCTCTGTATCATCTCCCCAAATTCCCATTATGTTTAAGGTACCCTGTGCCTGTTAAGGGGTACAGGGTGTGTATGTGAATGTCTGAGTCTTGTGTATAGTGTGTTTCCTTTGTTCTCGGCCACATGGCTGTCCATTGTCTGTTTGCCATGTGCTACCCCCCATTGTGCTGTCTTCCTGTCCAGCCAACTATTATGGGATGTACTGTTTGTGTATTGGTGTGGGGGTTGGTTAATGTCCATTGCCATGTGTTTCATCCCATTGTTCTGTGTCTTGGTGGGGTGGGGAGGGGTGATGATGTATTTCCTGTTCCTGGTTGTGTTTCCCCGCCCCCTGTATATATCCTGTGTTTTGTGTTAAAATAAAAGAGTTGGCTTTCTGTATTAAGAAGAGCTGGGTGCTGTCTATTTTCCTGAGGGATTTCAAGGGTATGGTCTGTGGATGGTGTTCGGACAGGGGAAGCTGCGGTATAACGGAATATACCCAAGTGCGGTCGGGTACCGGTTCCGTTACATTGGTGGCAAGCGGTGGGATTGTGCTTCCAAGCTGTAAACACATCCAAACCACCACCGGGATCCAAGAGCAGGAGAGGAGAGACAGATACCACCAGCTATGGAGACAGAGGTCTTATGGCAGATGCAGCAAGTGCTGGCTTATTTAGACCCGGTTTCTACATGGGAAGAGCGTGGATGGAGAAATAAGTCTGTCCAAGAGCTGGATGAGGGTGTGGAAGATGGAGCAGTCAGCGCATCCCTCCAATTACAGATCCCAGGATGTATGGATCTAATGGATTTTTCGCTGGAGGATGTTATGGGTGATGAATTACCTGCAGACTGGGACATCCAAACCACCACCAGGATCCAAGGTTCAGATAGCAGGAGAGGAGAGATACCACCTGCAGCTATGGAAACAGAGGTCTTATGGAGGATGCAGCAAGTGCTGGCTTACCTAGACGATCCTGTTTCTACATGGGATGAGCTTGGATGGAGGGACGCGTCTGTCCAACAACTGGATGAGGGTATGGAAGATGGAGAAGTCGGCTCATCCCTCCAATTACAGGTCCCAGAATGTATGGATCTAATTGATTTTTTCAATGGAGGACGTTGTGGGTGATGAGTCACCTGCCAAAGTGCTGGCACTGGACTCAAGGGCCACCAGCCCGTGCCCTGAACATTTAGCCATTCCAGAGACTGGGGATTGTACTGACTTTTTTACTGATGAGGAACCAGCCGGGGAGCCGCCAGCTGAAGCGCTGACAACTGGACAGAGGGTCCAGGACCTCTGCCCCACACCTGTGGTAGTTTCAGAGGCCCAGGGTGAGAAGGGAGAGGAGGTTGTTGTCCTCCCTCCCCCACAGTCAGCCAAAGTGGAGGAAACTCTTTTCCCTTCCAAGCCAGGATCTGTGCACCAGGGGGACAGTGACAGAGGAATGCCATCCCAGCAGCAGATCCACAGTCTGGGAGTGGAGGAAGGCAGCCTCCCTCCCCCACGGTTAGCCTGAGCAGATGTGGGGTCCCCAGCAGAAGTGCTGGCAACAGGGCAGAGCGCTGCTGGCCTCTGCCTAGCAACTACAGCCACCACCTGGATACCCCAGGGATGCTGGGCAGTCGGCCCAGATCCCCCACAGAAGGATGAAGGCGGCCCAGCCACCCTGTCTTCTCTCCAGCGGCTGAGAGGATTTCCGGGAGAAGGACCAGTCTGTACTTCTCCCCAGCGGCGGGTATGTTCTACGGGAGAGGCTGGGTGAGTAACGCTTGGTGTGGGACAATTTTCATGGGGTACTGTGTGGGTGTTGGCATTGAGGGACTGGAGGTACCGACTAACTTCAGAGTACATCCGTCTGGGATCTACTCCTGCGTTAGTCTCCTGCCGAAAGGGGAGATATGTGACGGGAGTGACTTTTGGGGGTGGGGGGACCTCTGTATCATCTCCCCAAATTCCCATTATGTTTAAGGCACCCTGTGCCTGTTAAGGGGTACAGGGTGTGTATGTGAATGTCTGAGTCTTGTGTATAGTGTGTGTTCCTTTGTTCTCCGCCACATGGCTGTCCATTGTCTGTTTGCCATGTGCTACCCCCCATTGTGCTGTCTTCCTGTCCAGCCAACTATTATGGGATGTACTGTTTGTGTATTGGTGTGGGGGGGTTGGTCAATGTCCATTGCCATGTGTTTCATCCCATTGTTCTGTGTCTTGGTGGGGTGGGGAGGGGTGATGATGTATTTCCTGTTCCTGGTTGTGTTTCCCTGCCCCCTGTATATATCCTGTGTTTTGTGTTAAAATAAAAGAGTTGGCTTTCTGTATTAGGAAGAGCTGGGTGCTGTCTATTTTCCTGAGGGATTTCAAGGGTGTGGTCCGTGGATGGTGTTCGGACAGGGGAAGCTGCGGTATAACGGAAAATATACTCAAGTGTGGTCGGGTACCGGTTCCGTTACACTCTGCTGTGGACAGAGCCCTGAAAACTGCCCTCTCAATGAGCCTGATCCCCAGTATTGCTTGAAGTTTCTCCCATTACTGATTTACCATACCTTTTTTCTGCACTGTATCTATCTCTCTGTGGAGGTGTTCATCTTGATAGAGTCAGGACTTTACTTTCTCATGTCAAACTTTTCAGCAAGAAAATCTGTGAGCAGCACAGAAGTAACATCACAAAATATCCCTGAACCCCTTCCCACGGCCACCTCCTGGCCCTTTAAAAGGTCTAAATGCTGGGAAGTGGGCATTCCGATCATGTGCCACTGTGATTGTGTCACAGCGGTCACATGATCTGAAAAATCCCGATCGCAAGAAGACATCGGGAGCTTTCTGGCATCTGCTGGTAATTGTGCTTTGAGCGCGCATATATTGTTTACAATTGGGACGCATATATGAAGCCTCTCGGCATTAAAGTCCAAACACCACAAGGCCACGTGTATGCTAGTGGGAACAGGTTAAAATCCTCTGAGACTAGCAATCAGAGGCAGCAGGACTTTAGATCTCACACTGCAGATATATAGCACCTTCAGATCAGCAGCAGAGATTCATGACCATATTTGTAGAAATTAAAGTCACACAGTTTAATTCAAGCAGCAAACATTAATTGTGTACCATCATCTTATCTTCTGCAAGGTTGTCTATTTCACACAACTATCTGCTCATAAAGCCCTGAGTTATTTACATCTAATATAACATGGCAAGTCCCTGCACAGTGTGAGTTTGACATGACGTATCTTGTAGCTAGGAGACGGTTTTCCAATTTTCTAATAGGGTTTAAGCTGCAGTGTGTCAACATGATTGAGTTTACAAGGGAAAGCGGGCTAACCTTAGTGTATTTTTAGATTTCTTCAGTAGATGGAAGGAAATAGCGACAGATATGCTTGATTTAATAATATAACAAAGAGAAACACCATCATTTTTATTGTATTTCATTTTTCACTGATCTTTACCAGGGTCATATATATCTTTCCGTACTTGTGGACTAATACTGATGTGAATGTACAATATACTGTATATGTAAGGCGCTGCATAAATTGTCGGTACTATATAAGCATAAATGAATAAATAAAATAAATAATTCCTAGGGCAATTTCACATTCTGGTCATGATGACAATTGTTATCAAGCAGCATGGTTAGTGATTAAAGAAGTTGTACAAGGGATATCATTATTTACAGGTACCTATACCAGCAGGATCTCTTACTATTTTGCATATCTAAATTTAGCTAGGTCGTGATTTATGTGGATCAGTTTGCTTGTATTTAATAAAGATGGGAGATCTGATATCCTATTCAATTAAATTCAAAAAATATTAAAAAAGATTATTATTATAATGATATAATTTAATACATGGAAAGTTTCATATGATACATAAACATAGTGTTTCTATTCTGTGATTGATTTTATTTATAGTCACCTTATGGACTCACGTACATGAGCTTTAAAATAAAGTGCTCACTGTCACCCACTCACTGTTACACAGTCACTAACAGCCATCAAAATGATTGAATTGCACTCTATTAAACAAATGTGGCTATAGAGTCTATGTTGCTCCTTCTGAAGCCTTTGTTATTCTAAATGACTACTCAGATTCTGACACTGACATGTGGGCACTGGGCACAGAAAACTGCACAGATTAAGGGGAAAAACACCCTGAAGATACAGCTTTTGCATGCATTTTTAAAGCCGTTGGGTTAATTATGGTGCAATTTGCATTCTGAAATTTTAGCATAATACATTCTGTCTGTATTCCAACCAAAGCAACAGATTTAGTTCAGCGTGAGTGTACAGCTAAATTGCGTATGTCTGCCTATTTTCTCACTTAAGCCACAACTGCAGGGACCTTCTTTGTGAGTTAATTTTCCCTCATATCTGTCACAGAACTTAGAACTAAAAACTGTGTATGTCTATAATTAACGAAAATCAATAAATAGGACTTAAGAAGTTCTTTACTTCTACAAGCGCAGACATGGTCATTACATATACAATATAATGCAACTTGTGTGTAGATTTTAAATCTGTCCTCATATTTGCATTACCAAATAAAATAATGTGATATATTAGAAACTGCACTATTGAAAAATGTGACCCTATATTTGTAGAATTTGCAATAATTTTAACTAACATCTTTGGTATGTTGTCACATTTATACAATATGCCCTAATATTCCAGTGTTTCTGGATTTACATTATATTTACATGAATCTATTATATTTCTTCTGTATGCTTTTTTGCAGATAACCTTTGGAGTGACCAGAATCTTGAGGCTGATCCTGATCTTCCTCCAGGATGGAGAACAATTCGAGATTCCTCTGGCACCTATTACTGGCATGTGCCAACAGGAACCACTCAGTGGCAGCACCCAATGTACAATTCGGGAATATCTCACAGTCTGAGTACTGTTCAGGAAAAGGTAAATTATCATATTACGTATTTAAGTTCTATGTCATTTTGCAGTGTTAGTTCTCAATGCCGGTCTCTTGATGCTAAAATAGTAAAAATTGAAGTATATTTGATGTTCTTTAACTTTAAAGGGTTGGCCCACCAAAAAGTGATTCTTTAATTATAGGCATTGACTGAGCATATTTCTTTTTCATCTATTAAGGGACAAGGGAATTGAAATATTGTAAAACATCTCGGTTATACTGCCACCAACAGTAGGCTGTGACACTGTAAACAGAAAAAAAGTTGCATTGCAGCCCCCCATAACCCCTCCTCTACCCTGCTCAGAGGGAAGTATCTATTGCTGAAGGCTGCAGTATTCCCCTGGACAGTCAGTAGACAGAACCTGCTGGGACTGCAAATTTCTCCTTTGGGGAGAGTGTAAGTCCTGAGGTTTTTGTGGGACCTGACTATCGGGAGATAGGTCATCCTTCTGCAGCCAAGCTGCAGTCTCCTTAGTTTTCTACTTCTCTCTTATCCTCAGTCAGGTGAACTTCCAAGTAGTAAAATTGGGACTTCTAACCTCATTCCTTGATGAAAAGTGCTGCCTTGTGCAGGATTAGGTTGGATGATTCCTAGAATCACATAATTGGTAAGGGACAAGGCAGATTTATTTATTTATTTTTAATTTTCTTTATTTCTATTTATTGCTATCACAAGGTAAATGTTACAGTCCATCCTTTTTAGAGACCTCAGGGTCCATTAAACCAATGCTGTCACTAGTACAAAAAGGTTGGTCCTGATTTGCCTGTACACCTAGTATCCGTGCTGGGAATTGGACAGCTCTGAACCTGGAAGTGCTCAGAACTGAGCACTTCTGGGTTCAGTCTTAGAGTAGCAGGTCAACAGGGTGTCTACCCTCAGTCATCTTGATTGGTGGTCTCCAAACTGCGGCCCTTGGGCCAGATGCAGCCCTCTGTTTGCCTTTATCAGCCATTGAGGCATAATTCCTGCCACCAACACCAACAATGGGGCATAATTCCTGCCACTGAAAACAAAAATGGGGCACTATTTCTCCCACGGACATCAACTATTTCTCCCTCTAATACCAAAAATATGGACATTGTTTACTCCCACTGGGCACAGTCTGGCCCCCCTAAAGTCTGAAGGACTGTAAACTGGCTCTTTCTTTAGAAAGTTTGGAGACCCCTGATCTTGATCATGCCACCGCAGAGGTCCCAGGCTCATGGAGGAGCAGAGTAAGGATAGGAACTGGATGGCTGCTCATTCACATGTAGAAGCAGTTCTTCAGTTGGCCATGAGCAGAAGTAGATAAAAACAAACCTGCAAACTAGGGTTATGCCCATGATTTCAGCAGTACCGACTGAAAGTGGTTACCGATCAAGTCTCCAGGGCCCCCACAACAGTCTGTAGTTCCCCTGTGAAGATCGGAGTGATCTTCATGGGGGAGCTGCATGTGCAAACTTTCAACATATATTAATGTATTCTCTACATGGTGCCACATGCAGGGGAAAGTTAATGTACAGTTTGTGTGCTGGAAGAAGTTAATAGCTAGGTGTACCATGAAACACAGAGACAAACATTTTCATTGTAAAAAAGACTAATGTACCAAACAAAGATGTTAGAGCATAGGTTCTTAACTGGGATATGAATACCCCTTAGGGTTATGTGTCCCTCATGATGCGAGTATGAGACTGGATCTCTGAATCATTTTTAAAAAGTGAAACCAGATTCTATGAATTCTTGAACCTGAAATTAAAATGCAGAGAAATCGACTTGATGTGTTAACTGACATGTGAGTAACATACTTAGTAACTGGACCTCACTTCCATGTTTGATTGCACCAAAACAACAACAAAAAATGTCACTAGTAGCTAGCTTGCACTAGTAACCATATTTTTTAAATGTATTCATTTATGTAAATAAATACATAAATAAATAAATAGTATAGACCCCTATGAATTTCTTTCAGCTGTTCTGTTTCTTGTTATCCATATTCAAAACAAAACCAAATTATTGACAGCTTTGAAAGGTATACTTATACCCAACAAGATTGATGATGATTTCAACAGTCAGGGGTAGAGGCAGTGGTGTATTTAGGTTATGTGCTGCCCTAGGCAACACAAAAATCGGATGCACCCCCCTCCCCCTGCCGAGAGAGCCTGACATTGACCAACAACACCCCTGTCCCCCCTCCCACCCAAGAGAGTCTTCCACAAACACACATTCCCCCCAGACATCCCTGGGAACAAGAGTCGGGCTCTGCATACACCATGAAAGCAGCCCACAGCCTCTCTCGGATCCCACCTGGTCTCAAGTGTCCCTTCTTCCAGGGGGTGGCCCCCCTGAAAAATGCTGCCTAGGCAAATGCCTTGTTTGCCTTGTGGTAAATACACCCCTGGGTAGAGGTATGGAGACAAATTGGGCAAAACAATGGAGGGTCTGTAATTGTAAAAAGGTTAAGAACCCCTGCTTTGGAGCTTTGTGGTAGGAATGCAATATTGTATGGTACTTTCCTATGTAAGTATATCACTTTTTTGACACTCTAAAATTTAAATGAGCAAAATGTGTTAGAGCTTTGGGGTAGGAATACATGACTGTACTGTCCTACGCAGACCATTTTTTTCACACTCTAAAATTTACCTAAGCAAATTGTAAAGGAAAAGAAAATAATATAAATGCAAAATAGTTACATTTTGTTCTTATGCACAGAAAGTCCTTAGGACTTCAGTCAGTGATGTTTCTTCAGCTCGGCCCTTTCCTGGAACAGTATCTACATCGGGCAGAAGGTAGAGAACACATTCTAATTTATCAAAGCTAGCAGGTGGTGATGTTACAAACGAAATCCCTGTTGGTGTAATGTGCTTACTTATGTGCATGAAACATTTTGTATTTCTGCTCCTGTGTGGTGACTTTGTACAGAGTGAGTGGTTGTTGGCATTGCAACTCTACAATGGCTAGAATGTCTAAAGCTGATACTTATTTGTCTATTTGATAGGCTTTCGATGCCATGGCATGATGATGATTTATTTCACAATATTAATGATCCAAACTGTAAGGTAACATCTTTATGAACTATCTATACATTGTGTTCTTTAGTAGCAAGGGAACTGTTTTACTGTATGTTATATGTTATGCTGGTATTTCCAGAAAACTCTTTATTTAAAACTCTCCTCGCCAAGGTTCTGATTAAAGAGTATTTATACCAAGACCCCAAAAATGTATATATTGCAGCTTACCGGTCCGTTGTTGTTATGGTTGTATTGTTATTCCTTTTTCAGGCTTCTTATCCTTTATTTTTCTCCTGGTGTATCTGGAAACAGGTTACCTTTGATTAGAGATGTGCATGACAGAAAAATTTGTTTCATTTTGGATTCGTTTGTTAAGTTAATAATTTCATTTCACCATATTCGTTATGGTAGAATGACTCATTTTTTAAATTCTTTTTCATATATTCGGATTCGCATAGTATATTTGTTGTTTTCAAATCAATTTGAATTTCCGAGGACAGTTATATTCGTTTTACTTTATTCTATTCTAGTCTATTCTAATATATTCTCTTTTCTTCAGTTTTATTTTCTGTTCTATTATTTTCTATTCTATTTTCTTTTCTATTCTGTTCTAATATATTCTGTTCTAATATATTCTATTTTTTATATTATATTCTTCTATTTTCTATTATACTCTATTCTTTTCTATTCTATTTTCTTATATTCTATTCTTTTCTATTCTATTTTAAATTTTCTATTATAATCTATTTTATTCTGTTTTATTCTATTCTTTTCTGCTGCATTTTTTATGCATTTGTGTTGCATTTCTCCCCTGGACATGTGACTGGACAAAGCACTTCTCACAACTCTGCATTTTTTATGCGTTTTTGCAGTGTTTTACATTCATTTCAATGGAAAGGTGCATTTTTGGTGGGTATTTTTTGTACCATACCAACCATGCACCAAAAATACAGCAAGTATGAGCTTTAAAAAAGAAACTGAAATGCAATGGACCAGTGTGAAAAGTTCCACAGGATTAAAGATTTTAACCAAAAAAAAAAACTGAACAGTGCAAAAGGACTCTTAAAGTCCTACTTGCTGCATTTTTGGTGAATTTTAGGCGAAGTAAAAAAATTGCATAAAATTACATCTCTCCATTAAAATAAATAGAGCAGCAAAAATGCATTAAAATATGCATAAAAAATGCAACACACCTGTAGAAAGTGCTTTGTCCAGTTATGCACCCAAGGAAAAAAAAATGCAAAGCCAAAGTGACAAAAATGCACGAAAAACACATAAAAAACACAATACGCCATGGCAAAAATGCATATGCGTTTTTGCCGCATTTTTTTTGTAACTGACCAGTGTGAAAGCAGCCTAACTAGGAATTATCATCTTATTTCACTTTTATACCTCACTGTATTTATTGAAATATGTTTCCATTTTAAATTCAAATTCATTTTCAAATTCATTTTAGACTCCAGATTCATTTTTTAATTCGGATAGTTCATTATTTTTTTATTTAGTTTTCTCGAAATTCCTTACTATTCTGATTCATAAATATGGATACATCCGAATATCCAAATAATGAAAATTTCATCCAAATTTTGATTTTTAACGAAAAGAATCACACATCTACCTAGGATCTGGTGGGACCAGATATGCAAGCTAAACACAAGAGGAAACCACCAGTTAAGTGTGGGCAACACAATTTATTAGTGGTAATACAACATACAATATGTAATACATACAGTATACATCATTCGAAAGTACAATTATCCTTTGAATGGCACCCCAAAGCACATTGTCAATGGACGTGTGTTGCAGTACACCACAATGCATGGTAATACAGTATTGTGTATTGTAGTGAGCTGTGTTACAAAAAATAGTACTTTTTGGTGCATTAGCAGCCTGTTCAAATGAATGAGCTTAAGGCAACACACATTACCGTGCTGCATAATGCATGTGCACTGACAGTGTGATTGGACCATAATAGAAATAACTTGCAGCTAGGTAGGATGAGGCTTGCCTTTCTCTGTCCACCTCTCCAAATAGAATTGATGCAGTATCAGCTAGCCTCAAGTATGAGGAGCAGCGTGTGCCTCTGTAGCAGGGGCGGACTGACCATTTGGAAACGCGGGCACTGCCCAAGGGCCCGGGGTCAGTAGGGGGCACTATGAGATGCCCCCTGGTACCTTTTTCATAGGCTTTTTTGAGTTTGGGCAAGGACACAGGGGCCCCATGATCCCCTATTGCCCGGGTGCCCCATGAGTTGTCAGTTCGCCCCTGCTCTGTAGTTAAAACATTCAGACCTTCATCAGCTTAGCACTGCAGTTTTAGGACATGTACCCCACCATCCCCATAATGTCCAAACATTGTTCCCCCTTTCCCCTCCAGACAATCCTCTGAGACTGCCCTCCCTCATCCATTCCAGAATGTGCTCAGTCTTCATTGTACCTAGCCTTCTTACAGCTAAAGATGTTTATTCATTAGAACTTTAGTACTTCATTAGCACAACTCCACAAATGCAATGACAGCTCAGCCAGTCAGGGTCCCAGGCTTGAGGAGCTGTAGGTGCCTCTGTGGGTAAATAATTCTCCATTTAGACATCTGCCCTACAGAAGCAGTGACAGCTCAGCTGAAGGCTTACACTACTCACTTCCTCTGTCAGGCTCTGGCTGATAACATCATCCAATGCAGAGCCCAGCTGAAGAAGTGAGAAGTGGAAGCCTTCCTGTGTACTTTAACTGTAGTGATGGGAAATGAAAGGGAAAGGCAAAGCTTGCATTTCCTGTTGATAGTAATGAACTAAGTACTACTTCTGCCACAGAACAGTATTGATACTATCATTGAAAGCACAAACATAAATAATCCCAGAAAAAAATGGAAACAAGAGTGCACTGGCCTAGCGCATTATTCCAGATAACAATTTGCTGAATAATAACTAAAATGTACTCACAAACAAAAGGTGACAAATCACATAACATAAGACAGTCACTATAAACATGCTCCATATGGCACCAAGGGTCCCAACATGAAAGAAGTGCCATCCAAGGGCCAAAGAAAGGCTGACACGTTCCGAGGGAAACCCTCTTCCTCAGATTCACTTTACCTCGAAACGCATCAGAGTTTCTTTGGCCCTTGGATGGCACTTTTTTCACGCCGGGACCCTTGGTGCCATATGGAGCATGTTTCCAGTGACTGTCATATGTTAATGCGATTGGTCACCTTTTGCTTGTGAGTACATTTTAATTAATATTCAATAAGTTGTTATCTGGGATAATGCGCTAAGCCAGTGCGCTCTTGTTTCCATTTTTTTCTGCAGTTATTTCTGACTTCCCCTGTCGTACACGGGAGCAGCAAGGCTTGGCCTATCCGCTCATTATTTTGAGTATATTTGGGTTCCACCTCACTTATCTGTCCATGCACAGGAGCGTTTGGCATAATAAACTAATCCCAACCTGTAAAGGAAGATAAATACTTTCCTTTCCAGTGGCACATGTCTTAAAGCTCTGCCGTGTTGTCAATCTCTGGCCTCTACAGGTATCTAGAACTGTCAAATACCTGCTCCCCTGCTGCACACTGTGACTGACTGACTCCTACAACACTACAGGACATAGGAGCCAGTGATATAAATAAATGAAAGCCCTCCAGTTAGTAGCAACTCTTTCAGTGCTGTTGTAATGTTATGTGCATAAATGTACTTCTAGAGTACCCCCCTCTGGTCTTGCTTCAGGGCTTTCATAGGATTAATTTAATTAGTTGTATTATTGTTATGCCTAGCCTATACAGTAGCTGGAAATACAGTACTACACAGATAAATTGTTTTTTTTTTTCACATATAATGTGTTTTTTTTTTCAGAGCTTTGCAGTTCATTGTCTAGGCTGGGTGGAAATACCCGAAGAAGATCTAGCACCTGGAAAGAGCAGTATCACTGTTAACAATTGTATTCAACAGCTGGCCCATACTAAGTGTGACAGTAGTGACATGTCACCAAATGAAGTGAGTTTCCTTTAGTCAAGAACTAGACTGCATTTCAAGACACATTTAGCATCCCTTTGTGGTTGGTACTGAAGTGACCATATAACATATTATACAGTGTGTTACATATACTGGACCTGGGAAACCCTTGCCAATTGCCTTTAAAAAGGTAGCCATTGTAGAGAATTGTGAATGGGGTAAAAACATATCCTTTTGCGCTGTTCAAACTGCAGTACATTATTCAAGGAAACAAGTAAAAGTAACTTATGTGCTCCTATTGCCACCAATAAAATAATGCAAGCATTTTTAAGTCACAACATTCACACAGTTTACTTTAAACTGGGTTCCCTGTAACTCACTACATCCAGAATCAAGAGCTTTCTACCTCCAAGGTTTGCTGGTAGTAAACTTCCTGAACCATATGCTGTGTAATTTCCCCTTTGTTTTCTATTTCAAAGATTACTTTCAGACTTCCGAAATTGGTTTGGCTGCTGAAGAAAATGTATTAACATTTTATACATGAGGCTTTCTTCATGGGATAGATAGCAAAGAGCATGCATAAAGTGTGTTTGAAGATCTAAGGACACCAGATGGCTGACAGTGAGATGGATAGATGTATGGAGTGAGATGGATTGTGAATTATAGCATTAAAAAAAAAATTGAAGTACTCAGATGGTCTGTGCCCCCTATATACTCCATATGTACCATATTTACTTGAATGTAATGTGCAACTTTTCTGGTCAAATAGAGGCTCTAAACTCGGTGTGCACATTACATTCAAGGGCGCCTTACATTCGGAGGCAAACACTGCTAAGCCTCCAACTCACCTGGCAGAGCCGCCACCACGTCCGGCAATTCTGCACTGGCTGCAGGCGGTACCTCCCACACACCCGGTGGTAAGGCAGCCCTCCCCCCTTCACTTTCTCCAGCGGTCCCCCCCCCATCTTCTCCAGCGGTCCCCTCCCTCATCTCCTCCAGCGGCCCCCCTCATCTCCTCCAGCGCACCCCCTCATCTCCTCCAACGGCCCCCTCCCTCATCTCCTCCAGCCCCTTCTCCATCTCCATACCGTAAGTTTCAGCTATTCCAAGCAATACTTAGAAAACGTTTTAATAAACGGTAAGTTTATGTAAAATCTTGTTTTAGGTCAGTATTTAAGTGTTCTTGCATGGCATCTCACATATATATTCTTATTATTATGGCCAAATTTACCACCCTAACTCCTCCCACAGTTTTTACTCTACATAGACAGTAATATACCGAAACGTGCGGATTGTTCCCGATTGGTGTGCTATTACTTTTTGGAACGTTTTGCCGAATGGTTCACAAAATATCTGTGTTTTTGTGGTGAAATTGGTCCCATAGGAATGAATGGCGGAATGTTCAAAACTAGAGTGGGAACTGACAAAAGCTAGTTACTCCGCCCACTCCAGTTGTAGACTACTGGTGGAGGCAAGAACACTTCACACAATTTCCCCAGAAATTGTAGCTTTTCTAGTTTGTTTAATACTTTACTATATTGTAATACAAAATGTACCATAACATATGGTGAATTTATTGTTGCTGTCTAAAGTACTGTAATTACCACTAGTAAAAAATCTTAACATAAGCCCATTGTCACATTTTATTACTGTATTTTCACTAATTACCAGCAATAAAATGAAAGTCCATAACTTTAACCCATTGTTGCATGCAGGTGCGCACTACAATCGCCATCAAATGATTTTTTCAAGCCTTTCAAAATAGAGGTGCGCATTAGATTCGAGTAAATACCTAAACCATCTGATATCTAATCATTGCTACATCTTGCTTAGTATTAAACATCATTTTGGTTCATGTATGTTTAAATTCATATGAAATACTTAAATTCATACTTTATCTAGGTATCTACACCCATATAGGTAGGTAGGGCATTTGCCATCTAGGTCACATGATCCCCATCCCTATTATCACAGTACTGCCTGGGAGGGGGCTGAGTTTCACAACAGCAAATCACATGTCCTGTGACATCGCTTTAGCTAATCCATGCCCTTCTTTCCAGGCCATTCAGAATGGAATGTGCTGTCAATCAGCTATGTGCTCCTCCCCCTAGGCAGATCAGATGCTTGACTGACAGTGGACTCCACTTTTAATGGTATGGAAGGGGAGGGACTGTAATAGTTAGGATAGCATCACAATCAATAGATCAGATGAAAGGGACATATATAAAAAGGTCTGTGAGTACTGATAGCATACATGATCATTTAGGTATTACACTACTTCCACTTCCATACCATTCAAAGTATAAGCTACTGTCAGTCAAGCATCTGATCCCCCTAGGAGGCGATACACATGCCTGACTGACATTGCACTCCATTCTGAATGGCCTGGAATGGAATGCGTTGATTAGCTAATGTGATGTCTTCTCTGTTAAAAATGATGTCACATGACATTTTCAAAAATGGTTTAACTCCACTTCCAACCTTGGCCATGCTGAACAGGCTCTATGAGCCTGCAGATCATTGCTACCAGGAAGGAAGAAGCCCTAGTTACTCATGAATCACCAGGTACAAAGGCCATACATAGTTAATAAGTGAAAACATACTGCATATACTCTATACTGTATATACAGTGCTGTGAAAAAGTATTTGCCCCTTGTTGATTTTTATTGCATACCTTAATGATTCAGATCATCAAACAAATTTTAATATTACACAAAGATAACCTGAGTAAATACAAAATGCAGTTTTTAAATGATCATTTCATCTATTAAGGAAAAAAGCTGTCCAAACCTGCCTGGCCCTATTAGGTCCTAAACCTTATAACTGGTTGTGCCACCATTGGCGGCAATAACTACATTCAAGCGTTTGTGATAACTGTCAGTGAGTCTTTAACATTGCTGTGGAGGAATTTTGGCCCACTCTTTGCCAAATTGTTTTAATTTAGCCACATTGGAGGGTTTTCAAGCAGGAACAGCCTGTTTAAGGTCATGCCACAGTATCTCAATTGGATTTAAGTCCAGACTTTGACTAGGCCACTTCAAAACCTTCATTTTTGTTTTTTTTTTGAGCCATTCAGAGGGGGACTTGCTGGTGTGCTTCGGTTCATTGCCCTGCTGCATAACACAAGTGCGCTTGAGCTTGAGGTCACAAACTGATGGCCGGACATTCTCCTTCAGGATTTTTTGATAGAACACAGAATTCATGGTTCCATCAATTATGGCAAGTCTTCCAGGTCCTGAAGCTGCAAAGCAGCCTTAATAAATGGAATCATCATTTAAAAAACTGCATTTTGTATTTACATGGGTTATCTTTGTGTAATAACTTGATCTCCAGAGGATTTACCCCCATTCCTGACCAGGCCATTTTTTGCAATACGGCGCTGTGTGTTACTTTAACTGACAATTGCGCGGTCAGGCAACGCTGCACCCAAATGAAATTTATGTCCTTTTTTTCCCCACAAATAGCTTTATTTGGTGGTATTTGATCACCTCTGCATTTTTTTTATACTAGTAATGGCAGCGATCAGGGATTTATAGTGGGACTGTGGCGGGCATTCTGACACTGGGTGGGAACTGACTAACTGCCATTGACATCCCCAGTGACACTAATACAGTGATCAGTGCTAATAAAAAGCACTGGCACTGTACTAATGACACTGGGCAGGAAGGGGTTAACTTTTGGGCGATCAAAGAGTTAACTGTGTTTTACTACGTGTGCTGTGTGCTGTTTTACTATGGAGACATGCTGCTTTGTATTTCTCTGCTGTGCAGAGAAATACAGAGCAGCATGTCCTTGCTGGCATGTGCGCTCCCTACCGGAAGTGCAGATCGCATATATATACATGACTTTACACAGCCCTGCTGCCCTGTAGCAGTATTTCTGCTATAGGGTGGTGGGAAATAGGTTAAAATGTTTTTGATGATCTGAATTGTTTAAGCATGACAAATAAGCAAAAAAAATATCAAGAAGGGGAAAATACTTTTTAACAGCACTGTATATATACAGTATCTACTGTATATTGTGCATATATATATATATATATTTGGGGGGGGGTTTAGAGTCACTTTAGGGATATCAGCGCAAGATCTGGTGTTGATATCCACTCTAAGGCTCAGTTCACACCTATGCAGTTTACTTTTTGTCCGATTTGCAGTGCTTTTCACAGTTTGTTTTGCGGTTTTCTACACACGTTTTTACGACGTTTTGTTCAGCTTTTTTTCTTTTGTTGAAGTGGAATTTTTTTTGTTACTGGGCGAAAAACCCAAACACGGCAAAAACGCACTACCATGCATTTCAGCAGCTTCTCCATTGAACTCTATTATAGCAAAAAAGCTACTTTTGGCTTTTAAAAAAGTCCCTGACCCTTTCCAAAAATGCAGCAGCTCAACAAAGCATACTGTAGATGTGAACATGTTCCATAGGAAACCACGTTAGATGGGCTGTAGTGCGTTTCCACAAAAGCAGTAAAAACCGCATTGGTGTGAACAGAGCCTTAGGGCTAGTTCACACCATGGTGCAGAGATGTCAGTTTTTCAGCACGCGTTCTGCAAGGGCACAACAAAATGAATTGTTCTCTATGTGCCCTGTTTACACCACACAATGCTAGTATCATGTGCAGATTTTTTCTGTACAGGAATCTTCACGGTGTATTAAATAATTGAAGCACCCATGAAAATTGATGTATACTGATGTCTGAGCAAGTGCAATCTGCGCATCAGTCTCCATCAGTTTCTCTGCACGTATGGTGTTAAGGAGGCGTTATACTTCTACCTAACCCCTTTCCAGGTTCTTAACTGTCCCATTTGGCTTCAAAACAAAAGTTGTAGTTGTAGTTGATTTTAAATCATTGAGAGATTGTAATGGTATCTTGACTGCAGTGCTGTTCCAGTAGTAACTATGGTAGGCATACAGCCTAGGAGCCCTTGCCAATAAACACTGCAGGATCCCCAGAGGTATGGATAGGCACCTGGCAGGTGCTACAGAATACCAATAGCCACTCAGTACTGACTTGTGTTTATTTGACTTTTATTTTATGCTGATATTAACTTTTATAATATGCGTTATGCAGAATAGCAACATAAGTCTATTATTGATATACTGTACATGAATGTTTCAGGGTTTTTTTTTTTGCATTTTAGGGTGAAAATATGGTGATGATTTTGAAAAAAGATACAATGAGCTTGGTGGATCCACTTGATCACAGTCTTATTCACTCTCAACCTGTCATCAACATTCGAGTGTGGGGTGTTGGCTGCAATAATGGAAGGTATGCAAGTTAAAAATAAATATTTGTATCTTTAATAATAATTGGCCTGCCCAAGGTTATCGGAGCACCCAACAGGCTTTGTGGTCATAGGTATGGGTCTTAAAGTGAAACTACATTCATGGTTTAAAGTGTATGCATACCCAGAACATTTTATGTTTTGGCTAGAGTAGGGGGTATTAGAATCCTCACTGGTGAGAATTCACTCTCTTTATTTGTCCTGGTGGTCATTGTCACAGTTGTCACTGGAGCCAGAGGTGACAAGAAATCGTCCAGTGGGGACACCTGTTCCGGTGACAACAGACATGGAAATTCCCTAATTTTGTAGAGATTTCTTATCATTTCCTATTCTTTTATCTGGGAGATTCACAACTGATGTATTGCATTTCCAAGACAGTAGGTGAAGGAAATCCTCCCCAACAGGGCATACAGCAGAAAAAAAGCCTGAAAGCTAGAAATGGAATTTTAACCTTTCTCTATTCTACTCACCAAGATCTAGCTATACACATACTTTAAATGCGTACATGTGTCTGATAACAGTTCTACAGCTTTTTTTATGCGGAAAAATTATTTCTGTTTAGTATATTTACCATCTTGGCATATTTCTGCTCCGAAAGGTCACTCAGAATTTATGTTGTGAGAGGTGCACAGTTGTGTTCCCCGTCACCTGGTCTTCTGTATCACTCCCTAACACTTCCCAGGGCAAAGTTCCCGTGGCATCTTCTTACCTTCTTTGTATGGCAGCTGGGTGAGCTAACTGGTATCTCAAAGTAGAGGTTACTATGCGGAGCTGAAGAGCATGCAGCTTCTCTTTCTGAACACCCTACTAGTCCCAGAACCTGCAAAGGTTAGTATGCATATGACATCCTCCAGCTCTGAAATCATAACAATGTCACACCAGCTGCATCTCCCAATGCAACGTAAGGAACTCCCTTGACCGCTGTAGAGACCCACAGTCCTGGGTGTGTGGGGTGATCCAGCTCCAACTTTGAAGAAAACATTTAAGATTGCACAGGAAGATAAAATCAACTCTAAAATGTTCTTAATTAAAATATCCCAAGAGCAATACTTGACTTAACATTGCTATCTGCCAACTTTACCATCCATCAGTGTTTTTCAATATCATTATATTATGAATCTATACACAGAAGCAGAAACTTACCACAGATTTGCTTACTTTGAGTCAATTTACCTATAGTATATCTGTGAGTGGGCCAAAACCACTATAAATTGGAATTCAATATTTCTAAGCAACCCCTTGTGTTTTAAAAGAAGTAAAACATATCTACCCCAGTTTGCTTCCTCTAATATGTATTATTTGCTGAAACTTTAAACTGTCATAGAGTGATTATTTTAACAAGGATAAATACTGTTGTATGTGCCCCCTGTGGCACAATCCAGTGGTTGAGAAACTGCAATACAGAATTTTCTCCATAATGTAGGTGCAGAGCATCCTTCAAAGTAGCCTTTTGCAATTGAATTCCTGATCACTGCAGCATTTTGGTAATGAAGAAAATGTTCACTGATGCCAAATGAAAACATCTGATAGTAACTGATGGTTGATGATTATTATTTGCCTGGAAACAGGTCAATTGTAATTATACTTACGTTGGAATTATATTAAAAATAAGATCTTATGCTGTAACTCTGTCCAAAAGCTATTGGAGTGACAGAGATGACTTACAACCCTGGTCACCAGTCCAAATTAGCAATGAGGAAAGTAGAGTTCACTCTTGGCAAGTATCCATTTATTTTGCCAAGTGTACACATAGAAAATTAAATTAGTGGCAGCATCAATATTTCAGGGGTTCTCTTGTCCCCTTTTATTATATAGAAAAAAAAAAAAAAAAAACTTTTTTACTGCAAAATAAAATAGAATAAGCTTATAAGATACAGTACTGATGTTGCTACTTTGTACCTAATTTTATTTGGATGAAGTTTTGCATTAAAACATGTTTATTTTGCTCAGAAAGCCATTTCCCTCAGAGAAACGTAACTTTTACACTCCAGAAGATAAAGCAATCAGTGCTAGAAGCTAATGATGCAATAGATTCAACTTACAAAGTATACCTATTTTTTTTTAAAAGTGACACTTATTTTCAGCTGTATCTAATGAGATTTAAAGAATACAGTCACATGGGTAAATTAGAAAGGTTTATGAATTGAGCCTAATGCATGCAGTTTAACCAGTTTTATTGAAAAAGTGCCAAACCTTCAATAGCTGCAGCAAGTCCAGATGGTTGTTAAGGCTAGAAATAACGTCTGTCAGTGAGTGAATTGATCAGCTTCTGGGCTTGTGATCCCGCTACAAAACACTCTGTTGTTATGTATAATCTAATGCCCATGCAAACTGGCTAAAGAAGAAATATCGCCATCTACGACTGCATGCTTGAATGAGAATCAGAATTTTTTGTGAAATGCTATAGGTGGCCATGGACATGGAAAATATTAATTTAATTCTTGTTGGATTAAGGGCCATCTTTGGTAAAACTAAACAGCCTTGGCTGATAATTCTAAAAGTCTAAAACTTTTCAACCATTACCATTCCCCCAGACATAAGCCAGAACTGGAGCTATTTTTCTATACCTTTTTCCTCCCTATTCCATAGATATAAACGTGTATGCTTGATAAAGCCAAGCACTCATGTTTGTGAAGCAGTCTATGGACATTTTTGCCTGGGAGCAGTTAGTTCATGTCTGCATGCTATGTTATTGCTATGTGTCCTACTATGTCTATGGAAACCTTAAAAAAGAACTGCAGGATGTAAGTGTACTGTAGTAATCACACTTACCTCCATGCTATCCTTCCCAAGATTTTGAAAACCCTCATACCAGCCCATTGGTGCTCTTAATTAGCATCTTCCAATCCTTGTGTGTTTTTCATATGGTCCCTGACATGTGGTAATTACTTCTATTTAAACAATACACACTTTTAGCCATACAAATCAAAGAATTATCACCTGTGAAGCCCTCCTGAATTACAGTCTGTGTACTGGAACAGCTTTCACAACTCCTATCCTGTTCTCGGATAATGACATGTGCCTTTCCATGGTGAATGGATTAAAGTGTTACTAAACCCAGGGCCCTGCATTCATATATCTGGTCTCCCACAGTACACAGAGTATGGAAATGCAATTATTTTAGCAAATATAAACTGCTAAATACCTTTTCTCATCAGCAGTTAGAGCAGTCTTGTGACTTCTATCAGAGACCAGCCAAGCACTGCTTAAAGCTTGTAGGAGTTTTCATTCTCCTCTGACTGTCCTATAAGGCTGCTTGACCCCTGACCCTCTGTCTGGACAATACTGATTGACCCTGTGCTGATCACATGCACTCTCAAAAAAAAAAAATATATCTCTAGCAATACGCATCAAACTGAGCATTAGCAGAGTCCCTCCTAGGGCTATTTTAGTGTCAGTATGAAGAATAGTGCCATATTATTGGTGTCAGTAGGTGGAATAGTGTCCCACTCGTTGGTATCAGTGGGAGGAATAGTGCCCTATGGTTAGTGTCAGCGGGAGGAATCATGACCCATCATTGCTGACAATGGGAGGAATCATGCCCCATTGTTGGTGTCAGTGGGAAGAATAGTGCCTCATGGTTGGTGTCAATGGGAGGAATAGTGCCTCATGGTTGGTATCAGTGGAAGAAATAATGCTCCACCGTTGGTGTCAATGTGAGGAATCAAGCCCGATCTTTCGTGTCAGTGGAAGAAATAATGCCTGCTGTTGTCAGTAGCAGGAATTATGCCCCAGTGTTGGTGTCAGTGGAAAGAATAATTCCTGTTGTTGATGTCAGTAGCAGTAATTACGCCCCATCGTTTATGTCAGTGGGAAGAATTGTGCCCCATTGTTGGTGTCAGTGGGAGGAATAATGCCTTATGGTTAGTGTCAGTGGAAGGAATAGTGCCCCATCATTGGTGTCAGTGGGAGGAATAGTGCCCCATCATTGGTATCAGTGGAAGGAATAGTGCCCCATCATTGGTGTCAGTGGGAGGAATAGTGCCCCATCATTGGTGTCAGTGGGAGGAATAGTGCCCCATCATTGATGCCAGTGGAAAAATAATGCCTCATGGTTAGTGTCAGTGGAAGGAATAATGCTCCATCATTGGTGTCAGTAGGAGGAATCATTCCGCATTGTTGGTGTCAGTGGGAGGAATAATGCCCATTGTTGTCCAGTAGCAGGAATTATGCCCCATTGTTGGTGTCAGTGAGAGGATTAGTGTCTTGTGTCAGGGGAAGGAAAAGTGCCCAAGGACCAGATAAAGGCAAACAAAGGGCCACAGTTTGGAGACCACTGTTCTAGACAACAGCAGGACTACTAACTTTTGCTGATTACAGTGACAGAAAGCTGACTATTAACATACATTGCTTTTCATACAACACCATTGTATTTGAAAGGTGTGGCACTATCCCAGGATTTGACCCAAAAAAGAAAGTTGAATGTTAGAATGCCTCTCTGTGGAGAGGTAACCAACATGCAGTTGATTTCCTGTTCTCCCGAAAACACCTTTCACTTTGTACCATATACTATGTCCAGAAATGCATTTTTCCTACATTTTCTCTGCTGTGTTCACATATTTACATTGTCTAAGACTGCAGTAGTTAACTTCCAGTATGGAACTTGACCTGTCCACATTTCATGAAAAGAAAGATACCCACAGGGACTTTGTGAGCTATTTATAGAATCTTCTATTGTCAGAATGAATCAGAGTTCAGAGGATCCTCCAAGAGTATACACCGTGAGATGAATTATAGAAGTATCTTAAATGTGTCCTTTGGAATACAGCTGTTAAGTGCTCCATTGCCTTTAGAGACAGCAAAACCACATGAATGAGCATGATATTTCCTTTCTTCAGGTCCATGTAACTCCTTTGGGATTATAACCAAGAAAAGCTGCATTATAAATTATGAACTGTAAACAGGAGCCTGAAATAGACCAACATTACCTTTTCATAGCATTTTTACAAGCTATGTTTAGCTCTACCGTTATCTTGTATTAAATGGAT